ATGGCCTCCTCGTCGGGAGCGAAGACGTAGCCCCGACGCCGCCCCCCTTCCCCTCTCCCCCTCGAGCACGGCCTCGACGGCCGCCCTCCCGACGGCCAGGACTTCGCTTCCGCCAACGTGTGAGCAACGTGTTCGGCGAGCACGCCAGGAATGCGCCCGAGAGCGCGGCCGTGCGGAGAATGCGTGCAGGTAGCGGCCGCCTTTCGCCTCGCTTGTCACCGCCGTCGTCGCCGCCTCTCGCCTCCTCCTCCTCCTCCTCCTCGGTCCCTCGCCGCGATGCCCGTCCGCCTCCCGCCGTCGGAGCTGTGTGTCCCTGTCGGCACTCGCGACCATGCCCCGGCACGGATCTCGGATGCCCTCACACCGCCAGCGCTGGTTCTCGCTTCGCATTCGGCGCGCATCACGCCCTCTCCCAGCCAACGTTGCACCGATGCCCTCCCCGCTTCGCGCACTGACTTCGAGTGCTGTTCAAACTCCAAGTTGGACAAAAAAAAAAAACATTCACGCCACGAATCCCCCAGTCCGTGTCTCGTTTCTCCCCCGTTCTCGCTATCTACGCCTCACACGCAGGGTCTGCTCCCCGAGACCAAGACGTCAGGTCTGAGCACCACATCGCCACCACTACCTCACCACTGCCGTCACCACAGTGAACACGCGGCCTGCGTCCGTTTTGCACGACGGTTGAGGCAGTCAAAATAGGAGGACTTTACACCCACCTTCTCTTGCTGGGCTCCCTGCTAGTGGACACTGGCTCTTCCTGCTCCTTCTCTGCGCCCCCTACTCGCGCGGGTAATCCGTTAGCACTTCGAGGGCTCGCGTGACACTCCACTCCCTCTCTCCCTGGTAAACTAAAAGCAAAATTGCAACACCAAAGGAGGATAGCACCAACTGCGCTCACAACGGGAATGCGTGCTCCCTCTCCCACCACTTAACATCAACTGATTCTACCGAGACGGAGCCATGTTGGCAGCACTTGGCGCGATCGAGAGGGAGCCGCGAGTTGCCGACGTGGGATTTAACTGTTGCAAATTACGGAGCAATTACAAACCCCGCGATAGGACTGTAGATACCCTGGTCGAGTTCAGACACCCACAACAAATCGGCTTGCAAAGCCTCACGGACCCATCAGCCGAAACGGAAGGGAGAGCTGGCCGAAGACAAACCCAGGAGCTCCCGACGAGGATGCTGCCGTAGGCCTGTGATTAGCCAGCATAGCCATTTCCACTCTCCACGGGCGGAGAACCTCCTCGTGAGAACGCGAGAACGGAAAAAAGCCAAACTGAAAGGAGAGAAGAAAAGGGAAACCCCGAGCTTCCCTGAGAGAAAGAAAAGCCAAGTGCAGCCAAGGCGACCAGCACCAGCGCCCCCGTCGGAAATCAGAAACTAATCCCCGCACTGGCACCCGCACCCGCCCTCACTGCCCAGGCGTGCCAACATCGACACAAAACTCGGGAGGGAGAGAGAGAGAGAGAGAGCGAGAGAGCGAGAGCGAGCGAGAGAGAGAGAGAGAGAAGTCAACACTTAAGAAATGTCACCACTTAAGCATCCCAGACGCAAGATCAGATGTCATCTCGCTATCGGGCCGGCCGTGTGCTCGCCCTATCGGAGGGAACGCACTCGGTACCTGCTGAGATGATGCTGGGGAATGGACCGAGCACGGAAACGCTCTTTCGGCGACGAAAACTGCCCAGACTCATCCTGGACACGTCCGTAATTAACCTACAATATTGCGTAATGTATTGCACTGTATTGGATTTCGCGGCGGCTGTCCGTTTGTGGGTAGCTTAACTACACAGCGCATGTGTCCACTGGGTATATTTATGAACCAAGTCTGCGATCTGCTATTTAAATATACGTGAGCTAGAGGTAGAGCGAAGGAATGGATAGATGGACGTAAGAAAGTGGATGGGGAGGGAGGGAGAGAGAGAGAGAGAGAGAGAGAGAGAGAGANATACTGAATACAATAGCAAAATTCAGTTAATGATCATGAAAATAATGAGACAATAGCTGCTCTGTAAATAGAAATTACTGACACTAATATAATTCTATAATCATGTTAGGTATAAGTTCTAGTGATGAGGAAAATAATATGGAAACACATTATGAACATGATTTGTACGGCTTGATAAATTGATGCAGAGACGAACAATTAAATAATGATAATAACCAAAAGAAAAAAAAAAAAAAGAAAAAAAAGAAGAAAGCACAATATAGAAGAGCTGAATGGTGATAAGACTCATAAAAAATATAGAGAAACGAGACAACGCGAGAAAACACAGACAGGAACAACAGGACGAAGACAGAGACTAGACGACACAGCAGACAACGAGGTCAGTACTGACGGAGGACCAGACAGCTCCTGAAGCAGATGGTGATTAATTGAAAGAGAGAATGACAGAATTAATGCGCAAATCATCCTCGAACATATCTGCAATAATTTGTATCTGTTTACAGAACTTGTTTACTCCACGCAGTACTTATATGCCGGCGTTTTATCTTAAACAAATGGAGATATAAGCGCCTATCATCTCCCAGGCATGAGGTAAGTGCAGCATCAAGACTGTCATGCATGTGGAAGCTGCAACTCAAGGACAAACAGATAAACAAGGAAAGAAGAGCCTTTGTTAGCGATCAGAAACCACGAAATGAATGACAAGAAAAAACAAGACGATCACAGAGATCACTTCGACGTCCACGAGCATAAGAGAGGTGACATGAGGAAGAGACATGCAGCAAGGAGAGTAGATAAGGACATGGCAGAGAGTGAGTGAAAGCAGGAAAGACCTAAGGATTAGATAAAGGGTGAAGGAAGAAGCTATTCGGGGAAGGAAGGAGGAGGAAAGGAAAGAAAAAAAAATGTGAAGGAAGGTAGGAAGGGGAGAAAGAAGGAAGGAGAGAGGAAGAAGGAAGGAGGGAGCGAGCTAAGGGCGGAAGGA